AATAAACTGTAGTGTATCCCAAGAATGGAATATCACTCAACACTGAAAAGAAATGAAGTGTCAAGCCATGAAAGGACATGGAGGAACCATAAATATACGTTAAAAAGTGAAGGCAATCAATCTAAAAAGGCTACATACTGTATGATCCTAAAGATATGACATTCTAGAAAAGGTAAAATAATGTAGGCAGTAAAAAAATCAGTAATTTCCAGGGATTGGGGAGGAGGGATGAATCAGCAGAGCACAGAGGGTTTTTAAGACAGTGAAACGATTCTGTATGATACTATAATGGTAGATATGTGTCATTGAACATTTGTTATACCTATAGAATATGCAACACCAAGAGCGAGCCATAATGGACACGATGGACTCTGGCTGATAATGACGTATCAATTGTTCGTCAGTTGTAACAAATGTATCACACTTGTGGGTGATGTTGATAGTGGGAGAGGTGCATGGGGTCTATGGGAAATCTCTACCTTCCACTCAAATATGTCAAATGGCCCTAAAAATTAAAGTATTTAAAAGAGGAGAAATAATGTAAAATAAAATAAGTTTTAAAATAATAAAAATTTTAAAAATAAAATGTTGCTGTGCAGTGCAAGCTTTACATAGCAGGTGTGTTTTCAGCTAATTACACACGCCATTTAAAATAAGCAAGTTTATGCGAATCAAAACCACAATGAGCTATCACCTTAACACCTGTTAGAATGGCTATCATCCAAAAGACAAGAGATAACAAGAGCTAATGAGAATGTGGAGAAAAGGATATACTTGTCTACTTTGGGTGGGAGTGCAAATTGGTGCAGCCATTGTGGAAAACAGTATGGAGGCTCCTCAAAAAATTAAAAATAGAGCTTCCATATGATCTAGCAATCCCACTTTTGGGGGTATACACAAAGGAGATGAAAATAGGGCCTCCAAGAGATATCTGCAACTCCCATGTTCATTGTAGCATTATTCACTGTAGTCAATATATGGAAACAAACTAAGTGTCCATTAACAGATGAATGGATAAAGGAGATGTGAGACATATATTCATTGTTGAGAAAGAAGAAAATCCTGTTTGACAACATGGATGGAACTTGAGGGCATCCCGTTAAATGAAAGAAGCCAGGCAGAGAAAGATGAATACTTCATAGTGTCACTTATATGTGAAAAAAAAAAGTCAAACTCATAGAAATAGAGAGTAGAAAAATGATTCCCAGGGGCTAGAGGAACTGGGGAGAGGTTGGTATAAAGGTGCAAATATTCATCTAGACCCCCCCCGCCAGCAGGGTCTGAGGATCGAATGTATAACATGGTGACGTTAAGTAACACTGTATTGTGTAACTGAAATTTGCTAAGAGTAGAACTTAAATGTTCTTATCTATTTAAATAAAATACACACATATATGAGGTGATGGATGTATCAACGAGATGGGAGAACTCCTTTCACAGTATATGTGTTCATCAAATCATCGCAATGTGCAACTTTAGATATCTTATAATTTTATTTGCTGATTTACACCTCAATAAAGCTGAAAAATAGGTAAGCTTCTAAAATCTTTATCTTAAAATTATACATGTGGAAGTCTTCTTGTCATTTCGTATGCAAGGAAAACCATTCCCTTTTAATTATCCTTGCTTCTAAAATATCCCCTTGGAAATACTCATGCCTATATTGTCCATTTGGGTTTTTAATTTTTTTTAAAGATTAAGTGATACAGTTTTTCTTTAGAATTATCATTTGCTGTGACATGTGTGGGAAGCATTTACTAAAAATGCCTAGGTCTCCTCAACCTTATAATTATTTCCCAAGAGTCCTGGTAACGATGAAAATCAAAAAGTGCCTTAGAAATCTCTGCACAATTAAGAACTTTGCTTCCTTGTTTTGGAACAGAAGATGATAAGGGCAATCCTTGGCCTGGAGAGCAAGCATTCCCTGGAAGAAATCCCCCTTACAGCTCTGATAATCCCATTTTTATTAGCTATATCCTGAGCTCTTCGCCCAAGGCTACACTCAGTTCAAAATAATAAAATTGTATTCATTGATATTTCTTGAAAAATACCAGTATCTCCTTCCTAATATTTCAGCTTCCAGCAAATTATAGAGGCAGGAAGAGACAACAAACTCAAATTTCATAGCCTTAAGAAGCTGAAATATTTCCTTTTCATGGTTATGTATACCACTAGATTCTTTTTTCTCCTGCCAATACAGAGAAGTCATAAGCCTAGAGAAACTATACGTTTTATCAACATGAGTTTAAATGAAAGACTCTGACCTAATTGTGAAATGATGTTAACGATTGAAGGTGATGTAATCTGTAATAACTAAAATTCTATCCCATTGCAGTGGCCCAATAATGACAGTGCAATTTAAACTGTATTTATCAGAATACTTTCTTCCTAGAATACTCACAAAACTCTCTGTTATTTTAAGGTTGTTATAAAGCTATTACTAAGAATACACATTGCGTGCTGTTTTAGATGAGTTTTTGTAGAACACAATGCATGTAAGGAAAGCTCATAAGTCAGAGACGTGCATCTTGATTATTCAAAAGCCGAACCCCTGCATAACCACATTCTAGGTCAAGAAAAGCAGATGGCTAGCAACTCACATTTTCTCCCCAGGTTGCATTCTCCCAGTAACAACTAGCTTGTTGTCTTCTAACGTAACCATTATCCTGACAATTATGGTGGTGATTGTCTTGCTTCAGTCTAGTACTTTTTTTTGTTTTTTCCCAACCAGAAATGCATTCCAAAAGACTCGTTAATCTGAAACAAATTACTTGTATGTGTTATTCCACGTCTACTTCCTTCAATTGGCATTATGTTCTGTGAGATTCATTCATGTTGTTCTGGACAGCTCTAATTTACTAATTTGCTTGCTGTATTTATTTTACCATAAATTATTGCTAGTTTCATCTATGAAATATTTTGAGGATACACAGTTTATTAATATTTCAAACTATTGATACATAGTTGGGACTAAGAAGAAGAACCTGCATGAATATTCTTATACATGCGCCTAGTGCACATGTATGCACAATTGTGTTGAGTTGATGTTAGAAGTGGAGAATCAAACTTACCAGATTTACACAAGCTTTTACATTACTGCATGTCCTCAAGAAAATGTGTCTCTTCCTGTCTTTTTAACTGCATCCAGTTTGGGAGATACACAGGAAAGACATAATGTTTTAAAATTGTATTTCTTGTAGTTTAATGGCTTTAGGGCCTTTAATTCATTTTGAGTTGAGTTGAGTTTAATGCATTTTTGCATATGGTGTGAGATAAGGATCTAAAATGATTCTCTAGCATGTGATTATCTAGGTTTCCCGAGCCATTATACATTCCCCATTGTGTATTCTTGATTTTGTTGGAGATCAGCTGACCCGAAATGCGTAAATGTATTTCTGGGTTCTCTCTTCTGTTCATTAGTTTTATCTGTCTGTTTTGACGCCAGTATCTTACTGTTTTGGTTACTTTGTTTTGTAATTTTTTTTAATGTTTATTTATTTTTGAGAGAGACAGAGACAGAATGTGAGTGGGTTAGGGGCAGAGAGAGAGGGAGACACAGAATCCGAAGTAGGGCCCAGGCTCCGAGCTGTCAGCAAAGAGCCCGATGCGGGGCTCAAACTCACAAGCTGTGAGATCATGACCTGAGCCGAAGTCAGATGCTCAACCGACTGAGCCATCTAGGCCCCCCTTGTTTTGTAATATTTTTTGAAAGCATGAAGTAAAATGTCTCAAGCTTTGTTCTTCTTGCTCAATATTGTTTTGGTTATTCAGTCTTTTGTAGTACCATATGAATTTTAAGATATTTTTTCTATTTCCACAAGGAGTGGCTTTGGGACTTTATAGGGATGGTCAATTTGGATATTAGGAATATTTGTTAAAAATAATTCTTCTAAAAAATAATAATAATTCTTCTAAGATATGAGCATGGGAAGTCTATTTCTCTGTGTTTTATTTCTCTCTGTAAGTGAGCTGATTGTTTGGAATTAGCCTCTAGGCTGGACGTGGCTAGGCTTGGGTCCAGGAGGAAATTCTGGCTCTGGCCAGCTCCACATGCTTCCATCTTGGGTATGCTTTCTTCATGGCAATGGCAGAAGCACAAGATACTAACTCCAACTTACTTTTGTCATGTGCATTAATATCACATTAGTCATGACAGATCTCATAGCAAAAAAAAAAAAGTCTAAGAGTAGGAAAGAACATCCTGTCAACCATAAATCCAAAGTAAATGACATGATCTGGGAAATATATCCTCCCAGATATGTCTACCACATAAAGTTGTGGTAAGAGATAAATGAAATGACGTATGTGTATACATTGTCAGGAATATAAAATTCATTGAATAAATGCTTATGTATATGTTTGAGCTTCAGAACAATCAAATGATTGGAGGAGGAGTGGCTTATCTCCCATGATTTCTTTTTGGGAATTGATCCGCCCATATTTAAGATCTAAAGACCAAAGAGCTGTTGTCATTGCCATTTGATATATGAATAATGTTTGAATAATCTATGTTCATCTTAGATTGGTGACTAAATCAAGAAAAGCTATCATCCCATCCTGTCAGGTAGAGGGGAGATGTGGTATACCACACCAGTGGTCATCACATAGGGTACCTCTTTTTGACTTATCTCCTTTACCCTCTTAAATAGTTTTATCCTGGGAGCACATCCTCATTGTAAAATGCCACTAATTGAGAAACGGATAGGATAAGTCGACAAATTTCATTACGAAGAAACATTTTTATAGCGGTGGTGGAGAGGGGGAAATATAACTCATGCCCAGTTGGACTGCATAAACAAATGCTTGATAAGTGCTGATGGAAACGTAAGCTCTCGGGAGTGGTTCACATCCACTTATTGGAAAGCTTATGTGGCGTATGTATTGTTTGTCATCAATTCATTTGATAATGTTATGGGAGAATTAAAATACCCAAGATACACAAAGTACGCATCTGTAATGAGACTTTTGTTGACAGCGAATCATATTCCATTTTCCTACAGATAGTCTACATGGGCTGGTGTGAAGCACGGGAGCAGGATCCTCTACAAGATCGAGCATACTCGCCAACATTTCTAGCCCTGAGGGGATCCTGTCTTTACAAGTTTCTGGCACCTCCGGTAAGCGTTTTTGTCCGACAGTTTTTATTTTTCCCGTATTATCATGACAGAGTGACATCAATTTGATAATGGTAAATAGCGTATTACCAATATACAGTAAAACCGTGGATCGCGAGCAACCTGTTCTGCGAGTGTTCCGCAGGGCAGCAGACATTTCTAGTAAATTTTAACTTGATCAGCAAGGGATGTCTTGTAATTCACGTGGTATGCGACAGCGAGTGTCACATGATCATGACTTAGCCAATGGTTCTGGAAATTTGCCTTGATATACAAGTGCTTTGGATTACAAACATGTTTCCGGAACGAATTATGCTCACAAACCAAGGTTTTCCTGTATTTTGCAAATAAGATACAGGGGAAAAATAGAAAACAGCGCAAATGTTTCTGAAAATATCTTACTAAAGATATATGTTCTGGCGTTAAATATTTACTTTATAACCCTGGAAAAATCTGGAAGGCATTTCTGTTCAGGCATTTATGAGAGTCAAAATGTGCTTATTATCTATTTGACACAGGTATGTCTAAGTAAAAAAAAGTAGCATTTTGATAGCCTGTATTCTAGTCATTGGACTTTGTATTAAGTATGTATGGGTACCTATTGCACCCAAGGTCTTTCTTTTGGAATCATGTACCTTATACAACAGTAGATTCTTAATAAATATTTATTGAATATGAATATCAATTGCCAGACCACTCACTTACAGGTATAATATTACATAGGGTTTTGGAAATACCGAATCTGACCTGCTGTTATTTTGAATGACTATGTCTATACAAAGTTCAAAGCACCCAGAAAGCAGGAAAAAAATCTATTAATATTTATACATTTTACTATATTCCTACTCTGAATAATTTCATACGAGTAGACAGACAAATGCATGTTTCAAATGTAAGAAAGTGACCAACTTCATCGTATTGTTTGGTGTCTTCACAGTGTTTAAGGCGATCACATCTTGAAATAACTTCTTGATATAAATAATGTCTTTTTAAAAAATTAAAGCCAGTGTTTATATTTAGGACGCTTCTTTGTATGTAACTGGTTGGTAAACTGGGAAATTGCTGTGTGTGAGAAATATAAATCCTTGGTATTTTTATGTAAATCATACATTATTTAAAATATATGCATACGTTGGGCAAATGGAGATGGTTACACATAACATAAAACATTTGCTGAAAGCGGAGGAGAAATGGCAATAGAGCCTAAGGGAGAGGACACCAAAACACCACACATGGACCTCCATGAGGATAGCTTCACAACTGAGATCATGTACTGCCGGTGGGAAAGTGTCATGGTGTGCCATATTATCTAAGTACGATAAAGAGGGAAATAGGGAGTGTGTTTCTACAACAGATGACATGTCAGTTTCTCATCTTTTCAAGGTGACAACGTGGGACTGGACCCGAGCAGAGAAAACATTCTCCGTGTATGAGATTATGTGCAAGATTCTCAAGGTATGATCAATACGTGGCGAACATTTTCAGGGCTCTTCCTTAGCAGTAGCTCTGAGCTCATAAGTGGCCTGTGAAAACAAATGGGGCAGCGGCATAAAAGATAAAGACAGAGAGAAGAAAATATACATATAAGAGACAGAAGGCAGAGAAGTATATAAGCACCCTCATATCAGCTGGAGTAATTAGGAAGCAGATACTGCAGTCCCTCGATCTGGGGAGAGGGAAGGAAGAAGCTTGGTAGGAGGTCATCGAGGGAGAAGCAGGAAGTTCGATCGAAAATAGTCCTAATTTAAACCTCAATTATTATCATCTTTTTTTTTTTTCTAAGTAAAATACAAAAGGAAAAGTCTTAGATACAACTTTGAATGAGAAAATGCAGAAAATATAAAGGCATGTGCAAAGAAAGATATATATATTTTTTAATCTCAGAATTAGGTTATCTATCTGAATATGCAAAGAATATACACTTATAAATCAAAGTCCTGTGTTATACACAAGAGTATTGACTAAGAAGTTATGAGAATTCCGTAAAATTCCAAATGGTTTCTGTAGCCATTTTTAAGAATCAGAATGGGAAAAAAAGAATCAGAGTGGGAATAATTTATAAAACCTAACTAATAATCTACATTCAGTTTCTACTCTGGGGTCTGTAAGCTTGGAAGTACTACAGATGAAAATTAAACTTTTGTTCAGGTTGACCTTGTTTGTGTAACCAAGGAGAACTAAGTTCCTTGCATTTTCTATCAGTTATTTTCTTCTGGTTAAAGGGTCAGTAGAAAATGCTGGAACATGTGAAACGTAAGTGAAATGCATCAGAAGTGTCCTGCAGCAGAAAAACCGGCAAACAAAAATGATTACCTCAAAAGGGGGCATAATTTTTCTTCCCCATAAAATAATCCTTGACTAAAACTGACATTCAGAGCAGCACAAGAGGTAAATGAATATATAGGTCATTGTTTGCTCATCACTGGGTATGGTTTTAGTCCTATTTAGGGATTTATGGAGGAAGGGCAACTCTGAGCTACTTGAGTTGGTTGTTAGTAAAGAAGGCTCTGGCAACTCCTAAAAGATGTACTGGTGTCTGAAGATAAGGAGAACATACTCAACTCCGTTTTTTTTTTTCAATAATTACCAAAAGGGCTAGTGAAATTCTAATTGAATTTAATTGAATGAGATTCTAATTGAATTTTTTAGGGAAAAAATGGTGGCATTAAGAAGAAAGAATTAAAGACAGAGACGGGGGAGACGGAAGAAAGGAAGGGAGGAAGGAAGCATGAAAGAGGGAGAAAGAAAGATACAGAAAGAAACCCAGAAACTCACTCCCCTACAAATTATTCCCTAGTCGTACATTAATTTGTCCCTTCCTTAGCCCTACGTTAATGTAACTTTATCAGAGTAGTAATCCAGCATGCATTTCTGTATACTTGTTTAGACTTAAATTATTTCCTAACCATTTTCCAAGTAGCTACATGGTCTTTATAACCCTCTCAAAAAAAAAAAAAAAAAAAAAAAAAAAAAAGCTGATTGAACATTTAAAAACAATTCAATTTATCATAATATTTGAAATAAGGACAATATAAGGACAATTTTAAAGGAGAGAGAGAGACTATGTGTAGCTCCATATAAACATTCAATATTTTATTTCTTTTAAAAATTTTTTGCAATATTAGAATTATATGGCTTGTAACCTTTTTCATGTAAAAATATGTCTTAAGATTTTTTTTATGTCGATCAATAGACTTAGAAAAAAACTTTGACCTTTTGGTGGATTTCATCTGTCCCATCATTTGGCCATATTTATTTAGTCAGTCTCTTACTTTTGCTGTTTAGATACTTCCTCATGTGTTCTATCAGACATCACAACAATGACTCTTTGATTTATATAATAGATAATGGTTGAATATTTGATGTATACAAGACAATCTGCTAAGCACTTGTTCTGTGGTTGGGAAAAAAAACCCAGAAAATGTCCATGGTTTCATTGAACTTACATTTTATTAGGGCGACACAGACATTAAGTTAATATGAAGGCACACACAAAAAAATAGATAGCAAAGAATTGATCTTTGCCCAGATACTTTTTAAAAAGTTTTTTTTTTTAATATTTATTCATTTTTGAGACAGAGAGAGAGGCGGTGGCGGGGGGAGGCACAGAGAGAGGGAGACACAGAAACCAAAGCAGCTCCAGGCTCTGAGCTGTCAGCACAGAGCCCTACACGGAGCTCGAACCCACAAACCATGAGATCTTGACCTGAGCCGAAGTCGGACGCTTAACTGACTGAGCCCACCCAGGTGCCCTACCCACAGGCTATGTAACTTTCTAGTTATTTCCTTTAATCTAAATTCTGAGTTTTGGAAATCCTGAGTTCAAAATATTTTAACATACTCAAGATGTTAGGCTTAGGGATCTAAATTCCCTCCTAGAAAAGCCAGACCAATTTCTAACACCATTACAAATATGTAGAAGGGCCCATACATTTGCACTCTGCCCAAAGTAAATACAAAGGGCACTTCTCGTTTTCCTTTGCACATAAAATTTTCTATAAGCTCGTTAGTTGCTTTGGGAAATTTTTTACAGAAGTTAGTGAGGCCTGGAGATAAATATTTTTAGACATTCAATAAACTGTAATTCTACTCTCACTTGTGATACGTAAATGAGAAAGCTCTCCTATAATTGATCGATATAACACTAATATTCTGTGCTCCACGGATTTGCATTTGACATACAAAATTATCTGCCGAGGATTCTCTTTCCCAAATGAAAGTTTCATATAACACAGGAATAGAGAAGTGGAATAAAACTCGGTGCTAAATGGATACTTTGCCTGCATTCAGATCAGATGGTTGGCTTGACAAGGAACCCAGCCTCAGAAAGTTCGGTCTGGGGAGCAGTTATGAAGCAGGGTCTTCTGTAACCCAGCCACCTACCGTCCTCAGGTAACAGTCCTGTGCAGATGTGTATGTTGTAGACTTCAGTCTCCAGAAAGGGATATCTCAGGCATTTAGAAAAAAATGTTCAATGTTTATTTATTTTTGAGAGAGAGAGACAGAGCACGAACGGGGGCAGAGAGAGAGACACACACAGAATTTAAAGCAGGCTCCAGGCTCCGAGCTGTCAGCACAGAGCCTGACATGAGGCTCAAACTCACAAACTGTGAGATCATGACCTGAGTTGAAGTCAGATGCTTAACCGACTGAGTTACCCACATGCCCCTCTCAGGCAATTTTGAAGGCACAGTTTAATGATCTGGACCACAAAACATCTGGCCTGGACCGCTAATAGAGAAAATCCTCTCCTCTCTCTTCTGATATGAGGCTATACCAGGAATAAGAAAACTAAAGCTAAATCATAGTTACCCAGTGTATGCAGTTTGCACATAGGTGCCAGGTTTTTTTGTTCTTAGTTTCTTGATATAATAATTTACCTAATTTTTACACCATCGCTATGAGGCAGTTATTATTTTCATTTTGCAGATATGGAAACCAAGGCAAAGAAAGGTTAAATAAATAGCCCAAAGTCATTATAGCTGGTAAATGTCAGAGGTAAGGATTTGAATCTTGTAGTCTGTCTCAAAACCTGTGCTCTTAAATATCATACTATATTCCCTCTCTCTCTGTCGGTATAAGCAATGATAAATTGGGAAGGGATGACAGTGAGAAAGCCAGCCAGCTCCTGGTGAGAAAACAAAGGCTTCAAAACAAGAGACTCTTGCCAAAAACTGACAACTTTGTTACCAAGTACATTACCCTTCACAAATACATTCGGCATGTTAGACTTTGATTTCTTTTGTTCGGGGGGGCGAAGAAAGCATAGGTTGCTGCGAAGGTTAGCAGTTCTTTAATCAATATCTTTTTATTAATTAATTCACATTACAAATATTCATGAAGCACTCTCTATGTTGCCAAGCACTTTATTCAGAATTAGGGATTCCATACAACTGGACAAGGGGGCTGAGTTCACAAAAAGCCTAGCTGACTAAGGACTTTAGGAAGGGCATGTTGGAGGAGGCCTGAAGTAAACTTGAAATCTAAAGGATTATTCAAGGGTTCCGATGACGTGCTTTGGTTGGGATTTGGGTTTGGTGAGTGGGACAAGGCGCTGTGGGGCACTGTGGGGCACGGGAAATAATGTGTAAACTTGTTCAGGTGTGTAAATAATCATGTGTCACTTAAACACCTAAAAAGCACTCAGCATGGCTGTGATGCACTTAGCTATGAAGCCAATGTTGGCGTTTGGGTGGGGGAGAGCTGTTAAAAGACAGTAATAAGGAACATAAAAGTTACATGAAGAACAAAGGAGCCCCCAAATGATTTCAAGCCTGAGCAATGACTGTTTGCCTTTTTCAAAATAGTCTTCTAACTGCAGCAGGAGACGAGATTGGAGGCACCGGCGGGGGGGGGGGGGGGGGGGGGGGGGGGGGGGGGGAGTGTTCCAGGGCTGCTGCAAAGATCCTGGGGCAGAGACACACATTCCAGCAAGTCTTGAGCAGTGGACTAGAGAGGTGAGGGCAAGGAGCAGAAGGGAAGACTAAACAGAGACCGGTGGTGGCCATTCCACTCATGGCAGCCACATACCTACAAAAAAGGCCTGTCCTCTCTCACTGCTCTGATTTATCCGACTCTTTGGGGAAAATGATTGCCTGAGTTCTAACTCTAATGTGACAGTGTAGCTGAATGTGGCTGGCGAACGACTCACCATGTGTTGGATTCTGGACTCGTCCTTCAAGAAAGCCTCGAATTCTGGGTCACGAAATTCTGTCCTCTTGCCTAGTCTACCAAAACCCAGGTTAAACCTTCTGCATTTGCCTCAAAACTAACATACACCTCTCATTCTTCATCGTATTTGATGATCTTGTTTCCTGCTTACACAGCCTGTCAGCTCCACAAATACCCATCGGCAGGCCTGTCCTAGATATGGTTCTCCTCACTTGTGTCTAAGGCCGGCTCCTCCTGTGTAAAAGGTCTTACCCGTCTGGCACAGCGGGGACCCCGGCATTTCT